GCTTCGCAGGACTAGGCCAGCTACAAAATTAGAGACCTGGGCTCTCAACGAGACGAGAGAGCTGTTCACACAGAGGCAGATCTTTCTGTACAACACTTTGATTAAGTCTAGGAAGAACCTTAATAGACTGCCATTTACTAGAAAGGAACCTTTAGAGACAAGTGTTGTGGGGGATGGAGTCTGATTTTTTTTTTTTTTCTATCAGCTCCCTCTATACTGAACAGCTGATGCTTGCATGAAAGGAAGATCAAATAAAAGGCTTATTCAGCATTTATCAGATTCCAGGAAGGAAAAAAAGAAATGTCAGCTCTATCTTACTTATATATAGGTATATCCTACATATCAGCTTGTACCACCCTGTGTGATATACAGTTCACCCGGTATATTTAATATTATAATCAGTGAAGTGCCTTCCCATCACCGGGTGTAGTTCGATCTTTTCACATAGGCACTTGTGCTGCATACATTAATTCACAAGACTGACCTGAGCAAGTGAACCCAAGAACTGCACTAGGTTGTTTCGATGGTCTGTGGATTACTAAAACAGATCCTAACATTGTTATTTTGTGACAAATGACAAATGTTCTTTTTTTTTTTTAATTTTTTTTTCAACGTTTATTTATTTTTGGGACAGAGAGAGACAGAGCATGAACGGGCGAGGGGCAGAGAGAGAGGGAGACACAGAATCGGAAACAGGCTCCAGGCTCTGAGCCATCAGCCCACAGCCCGACGCGGGGCTCGAACTCACGGACCACGAGATCGTGACCTGGCTGAAGTCGGACGCTTAACCGACTGCGCCACCCAGGCGCCCCCCAAATGTTCTTTTTCATAGCATTTAGCAGCAGCATTAGTGTTATGATAACTGAATTATTTCTCTTTTCCAAATGTTTATTTATATATATATATATATTTTTTTTTTTTCCCAAAACTGAGATGTAGGAAGGAAATGGCAAACTCAATAGAGAAATTATTTAAAGGGCAAGGCATGTAACCACTCACTACAGAATATATATTATACAGCCTTACTTATTAATGGCTTCAAACATGTTTAGAAATAAATTTCAAGATCAAGGGTAATCTAAAAATATTCACCGCAAGCCTAAAGTATGTAAGAAGGTAATTATTTTAAGAAGGTAAAATTTTGAGCAAAAATGACAATGCCATTTATTTTATACTGATATATTATGATATTACATATGGACAGGGGCTAAAGAAAGTCAACATTACTTCCTTCTTTAAAATGTATTTGTAAAATTACAAACTTTACACTACACACATATTTCTTTATGAAAGAGAAGTTTTATCTAACTACCTGGACTGGTTTCTATTCAGATTCCATCATAAGAAAATAATAATGTAGAGTGGCCCAAGTTGGGAAAGAAGAGTATCTCTCTATCCCAGCTACAATGACTACCATAAAATAGCTTAAAATAGAATTTGCTATGTGGAGAGGGCAAAAATATCTTTATTTTTAATATGTAGAAAAATACTTATAAAGATATAATTAGAAACTATTAGATGAAAACTGAAAAAAAAACAGATAAAACTTTGACATAATTGAAAAAAAATGATTTTCCCTTAATTCCTCTATGTATAGGGAAAGAGAATTGTATACAATGATGAAAATACACAGTAGACTTTTGAAAAAAAAAAAATAAGCAAAAGGTGAGGCAGAGGGAAGCACAACACTTTACATATTGAGAGTGAGAGGCCAGGGACATATGGGTAAAGATGATATACTGAACACCCCATTAATATTTGCTTTCCACTGGAAAGAGAGAAAAGGATTTTCAGAAAGTTTTATATCTACAAGGATAAAGAAAACAGGGAAAAACAAAACAACTAACTTTATGGAATCTGGAATGGTGATAGATGCATATGACTGATAGCACATCCAAGGGACCTGAATCCCAAACTGGTAGTGGGAAAAACTGAATAACACCATTTTCACAAGAGAACTATGAAAAGATGTGGAGATTGGTAGCACTGGATGCTTCTTGAAGCGGGGG